CGCTTTGTGCAGCAGCTCCCGGCACCTGGGGAGGGTGGCTGGGCGCCGAGTTCTCTCTGATCAGAGCCGGACTCCACGGTGTGGGCGCCGCCCCGGCTGCTGCAGCAGCGGGAGGAGCTGGTCACCATGCTGGGCATCATCACAATCACAGGTGAGGCGGGCAGGGCCCGGGCAGGTGGAGTGAAGGCCGCCTCCCCTCTGGCCTGCATTTGGGGGGGACCTGGAGGACGTACTGGTGGGCGTGTGATTCTCTCGGGGCTCTGACTTGTTTGATAGGAAGCGGTTCTCCGTGGTTCAGTAAGAACCTAACAAGCCTAATGTGTTCTTGTTGCCGATGCAGGAATCTTCCCGCTGTGCCTAGGGAAGACCTGGAAGGTATTTTGTCGGGGACTGTCCCCTTCATGGGGGTGAAGTTCAAAATAGGTTGCGACAGCCTAATCAGTTGCCGTCGTCATGAAATATTAAATCCCTGTTTTTGAGAAATTGTAATATCTGTATGTGGACCTGCTTATTTGGAACTCCCCGGGAAGGGTCCGCGTCGATTTGGGGGACGGAAATGTGTTAGCACTGGTCTGAGTGGCGGTTTCAGTAAAGAAACAGACACTGGAAAATTGGGGGCCAGCAGGTAGCAGCATGTAGGCAATGGATAATACAAATGAATGCTTCTTAAGCTTGCTTTCTAGAAGGCTGGCTGAGTAGGACTGATATTATTTGGTACCTACCTCCAGGCAATGAGTGACATATATCAGACTTGCAGCTTGTACTTGTAGCTCCTCTGACTTGGTTTTTATCACGTGGTGACCGCTTAGGAACTTGCCTGTTTCCTCCTCTCTCCCATCTCCCCGCCACCAAGAGCATGAAACTCCTTTTGCTCACTTGGGTTTACAAGACCAGCTCTTCTCTGTATATTGGAGGTCATCGCTCGCCAAAGCTCCATGTGTTCTTTCTATAGAAGAATTTTTAGGACTTACCTTTTCCCCCCTCAGTATAATTGCTTCTGCAAAGCCTTGTCCTCTTAAAGAATTTTAAGTACATGTGGAAGTTTAGCCAAACACAAAACATGTCTCACTTCCTATAGATTAGCTTGTTTACTTTTGAGATTTCCTTAAAATTCCTTCCCAAAGTTAACTGGACTAGACTTTCTATCCTTTATCTGGCATGCAAATTTGCATGGTGCTTAGAAGTGATCATGACATAGACTATACAAATTTAAGACTTAGAAACACAAGACTCCCCATTTTTTCCAGATCACTACTTTTCCTGTGAATGAAATATACAAACGCCCCACCCTGAGAGAGGCTGCCTGGGAGTGTGGTCTGTGGGTCACAGCTGGGGGTGGGGCTCCTCCCATTAACTTTTTTTTTTCTGGGTGCTTTTTGTATATACAGCCTGGCCTTTACTATAGTCACTACTTGATTATCATGGGCTGTTTCTTATGGGAAAGGAAGGTCATCCTATTTAGCACGAGCCAGAAGTTAAACTTAGGGAACTTGAGGGGGCTTTTAAAAATTGGTTCAGATCATCCCAGTGGAATAATGTGTGATCTGAAGTGGTTGGTGAAGGACTCTCTAATTTTTAAGGCAACCTAATTTTTAAAGTAACTGGCTCCATTGCTTTCCGAGTTTTACTTCTATTACAATGGAGAATGTGACAAAATTTAGTACCTTTTTTCTGGTAATAAGTGCATAGGATGTACTGTACAATGCTCAATTGTTATGTCATTCAAAGACATCAGGTTCATCTGTTTATTGAGCTAGAAACATAGTATGTAGTTTCACTTTTTTAAATGCAACAGCTGTGCTGAAATTTTTTTTATCATTAACACTTGAAATAATAAAATAGGCTTCATTTATTAAAAAGAAAAAAGAAAGTGCATAGAAAATCCTAACTCTAAAAAGTATAACGGCAAATAAACATTTCACAGTGAAAGGGGGAATTTCAACCGTCTTTTTTTTTTTTTTTCCTTCTGTAACTTTTCCTGATGAGGAAGGTTTATAGCCAGTTGTCTTTATATAGCTGGTCAGAATCTTGAAAAGCAATGAAGAGTTTTATAGTTGGCACTCAGGATTAATTAAATATCAGATTACTCACCTAAATGTGAGTTATTCCAGTCCTCTTTAGCACTGTGTTACGCAAGGAGCCTTTAAGTTTCACAATTACTAGGAAGGGAACAGGATGATGACATGTTGGTAGAATTACTTAGGAATGAGCTTTCATTTCTGAAAAGCAGGGAAAAGCTGAAGGAGCTGACCCCCCTCCCCGACCCCACGCCCACCATTGAAACGGGGGCAGCAGGATTTGAATGATGAAACGATTGAGCCTTCACATTACATGCTATGGCCTTTCTTGAGGTCTTTCCCTCATATCACCTTAGCAATAACTTAGCTTAAAATCTAGGAAATAAATGATTTGATATGATGATCAAAGAGATGTTGTCTCCTCCCCCCACTTATCAATGGTGTGCCAGGAAAAAAAAAAAACACTTCTTGAATTAGGGAACTCACACACAGCAAGACTAACTAAAGCACCATGAGGAATTAGGGCAACGTTCTTTAAATCTAAAGTAAACTGTTGAAGAAAGACTCCTCCTGCATTCAGGCAAGGTCTCGATGATGTATCACGCATTTCTCTGTGCAAGTCATTTTCCAAGATGAAATAAAAACCCTTCCCGTGGCTGCTTTTATCTGCCGTGGAGGCAGAGTATAGTTGTCAAGCAACTTGGGGGACATAGAATCGATACCCGCACAACTGTGAGAGTAATAATAATAACGGCCACATACAAGTGCCCACTGTGTGGCCCTGACCATTATTCCTCACAATAACCCTGCAAAAAGCGGGGGTTTAACTCCCCTTTTATCCCGAAAACGAAGTTCCTCTTGTCCCACAGAAGCGGCAATGCCGAGTGCCTCGTCCGGGGCCCCTTTCTTCTTGTGTAGGATGCGCCCATGGAACACCATGTGAGGCCAGGGGGTGGCGACCTGTGTGCTCCTGTGGTGGGTTTGGCTTATCTGAGTTCTAATCCCCCTTCCCGTGGCTGCTTTTATCTGCCGTGGAGGCAGAGTATAGTTGTCAAGCAACTTGGGGGACATAGAATCGATACCCGCACAACTGTGAGAGTAATAATAATAACGGCCACATACAAGTGCCCACTGTGTGGCCCTGACCATTATTCCTCACAATAACCCTGCAAAAAGCGGGGGTTTAACTCCCCTTTTATCCCGAAAACGAAGTTCCTCTTGTCCCACAGAAGCGGCAATGCCGAGTGCCTCGTCCGGGGCCCCTTTCTTCTTGTGTAGGATGCGTCCATGGAGCATCATGTGAGGCCAGGGGGTGGCGACCTGTGGGCTCCTGTGGTGGGTTTGGCTTATCTGAGTTCTAATCCCAGTTAAACACCTCCCCTTGGAGGCTTTGTGGTTAGTGAGCCCTAAAACAAGGGGCGTTGGGTGTGTGGGATCTAAGGGATGGATTTAGAATGCAGAGAATTCCTGGAAGCGTTCCAGGACAATGCTGCAACTCGTAGGGGAAAGTTAACCAGTTCCAGATGTCACCGCCAGCAGTCCCCGATGTGCCTGGGGAAGGAGAGCGCTGGTTACACTAAACTTCACCATTACGTGAGTGAGAGAATAAAAAAAATAAAAAGAAAACAATTAAATGGGTGAAAGCACCTTGTATGTACGCTATTTTAAAAATCACTTCTTGTTATATCACACTGTTCGTGTTGAAGTGTTTTGAAATAAAATTCAAACGAGGTAAAAAGAAAATGAAATCACTTCTTGCTTTCACGTAACGTGCAGGACGACGCTCCAACCCACTGAGCCACCCGGCCAGGGATGTGCCCCGCATCTTTTAGGCTGTTCGTTTGACTCCATTTGCTCACCGAGCTGTAATCTCTAACTCATCCGGAACCCGTGTGCAGACAGCACATGAAAATACCTTACAAAAGGTTTCTGCTAACGCACAAACTGGGTCATGGGTGGGAGAGAGATGGTTGCTTGGAGATCTCTGCCTTCAGCCAGACCTGGGTAATGTGGGCTGACCTGGCTGTACATTTGGGGTGGGAAAGTGAGGAAGGAGTTTAACACAGAAAAGAGGGCTTCAGCCACATCTGATCTGCACTCAGTCTGAAATGGGGTACAGAATCTAGATCTTTACTTAATGCAAAGAGGCGAGAGGGATGCCTGTGCCCCGCTTTTTTCCCCTTGAAATGTGTGTTGGGTGTCACAGAGGTAAAAATAGGTGCAATATGGCATTCGGCTTTCAGAGTTTGAAAGGATCTCTGAAGGGTATGTCTGGGGGTTCCGCAGGCCTTCTAGTGCTGAGGTCCTGGGAAAGGTGGCTTCCTGTTGGGAGAGCCGAAAGCTGCTCGCTGCTGCCCTCTTCTGTTCGAAAACATGTAGGGCTTTGGACCAGGGCTTTGCGTGTGGTAGTGAAAACCTGGACCAACGTACATTGTTGGTACAATAGGTACAATATTGTACGTACATTGTTACATACAATAGGGGGACGTAAAAATAAACGTGCAGCCTGTATAGGTGCAACATGGCATTCGGCTTTCAGAGTTTGAGAGGATCCCTGAAGGGTATGTCTGGGGGTTCCGCAGGCCTTCTGGTGCTGAGGTCCTGGGAAAGGTGGCTTTCCTGTTGGGAGAGCCGAAAGCTGCTCGCTGATGCCCTCTTCTGTCCGAAAACATGTAGGGCTTTGCGTGTGGTAGTGAAAAACGGGACCAATGTACATTGTTTAACAATAGGGGGACGTAAAAATAAACGTGCAGCCTGTATATCAGCTTCTAAGACTTCGGGTGACTCATCAGAAGAAAATTCAAATATTCATAGTGATTACCTCTGAACAGTGTCTCTGTAGATGAAATCCCCACTTTCTCTATGTTAAAATGCCCTATAATTTATATTAATTCTTTTGGGAATTGGTAAAAATAATTAAAAACAAATAGTTCTGTTATGAAGGAAACAGTAAGAAAAAAAACATTCTAGCGTTTGTTTCATTATTAGCATAGATGACCCACTGGTAGCTCATCCTCCTCAGTAGCCTTTGCAGGGAGTCCTGGAGGTGACCTTGCAGCTGAGGACAAGAACAGAAACGTCAGGGCATTTGGCCAAGGGCCCGTGCTCACCGGTGGTGCCGCCGAAATGGAAG